GGACCCCAGGTGGAGGCGAAGAAGAAGATGTAGACGCAGACAAAGGCGATGGCGGCCTTTTGCGCGGGCAGGTTGTACACGATAATCTTGCCGGCGTCGTCCTGGCCCGTGGTCAAGGTTCCCAGCATGGCGACGAGGAATTGCGAGACGCACATGCCGACGGCACCCCAGAGAAGCAAGGGGCGACGTCCCCAGCGGTCGACGGCCCACATACCGGGAAGAGTCGAAGCGACGTTAATGGACGAGGTGATCATACCGATCACAAAACCGTTGGAGAAGCCAGAGTTTTGGAAGTACTGCGTTCCGTAGTAGAAGATGAAGTTGATGCCGGTCAGCTGCTGGAGTGCCTGGAGAGCGCAGCCGGTGAACTGGCGCTTGAGGACGGGGGGCTTGAAGCAGTCGAGGTAGCTACCGGTGCCGATGGTGGCCTCGTAGTCGTTGTTGGCCTTGATCTCGGCAATCTCCTCGGCGACGTAGGGATCGTTCTCGGGAAGGCGGCGGATCTTGGCCAAGGCCTTGGTGGCGCGGTCAATGTGGCCCTGCTTGATGAGGAAGCGAGGCGTCTCGGGCAAGAGAAGCATGCCGAAGAAGAGGATGAGAGACCAGGCGAATTGGACGGCGATGGGGATGCGGTAGGATCCAGTGTCCTGGCGGGCGTGCGTTGCGTTGTTAATGATGGCAGCCAGGAGCAGACCGATGGTGATGGCCCATTGGTAGGCGCCGACAATGGCACCACGAATCCACTTGGGGGCGGTCTCAGATTGGTAGAGGGGGACTATTCACGGTTAGCATAGGTTCTTCATGACGGAGAAGAATAATACTGACCCAGGGCGGAAATCAGACCGACTCCGAAACCGGCGAAGAAACGACCGGCCAGGAAAAGGGGAATGGCAGTAGCAACGGTCTGGAGAACAACACCAAGGTTGAAAACCCAGCACGAGGCGACGAGGGCCATGCGACGTCCGATGGTATCAGCGAGGAAGGGGGAGGCCAGGGCACCGAAGAAAGTGCCGGCAGAGAGGATGGAGACGATGGCGGATTCTTGGTCGGGCGAGACGTCCTTGTTACCGGCGGTGTTCACGTAGCCGGTGCTGAAGAGGCGTTGCCAGTAGGACTGTCGAAAGGTGGTTAGTTTGTACGTCTTTTAGAAGGTGTTGGGAATCAAGACATACCATCTCGAGGATGCCGTTAATGGTACCGGTGTCATATCCGAAGAGGAGACCGCCAAAGGCGACAAAGAAGCCAATGGCAATGGCCGGCCAGGCCTTGCCTGGGACACCCTCAGGCTTGATACCCATGATGACGGCGGGCTACGGTATCTGGTTTGAGTGTGATGTTGGCAATGTGAGAAGAAGAGGTCAAGCCGTGTTCAGCAGAGGGCATGCAGTTGCTCGGACTCTGCGTCTGAGAGGAAGAGTGTTGGGCAGTGAAAGGCTTGAGCGCGACGACGGAGAAGAAAGGAAGACATCTGGGGAAGAGATGGGAGGAAACGACGAGCATATAAACTCGTCCCCAGAATGCGGTACGACGCGGAGCTCCCACACAACAGGAAACCTTCCCCAAGGTGGGGGAAAGTGGAAGAGGTGCCACGGTGCTACCGCATGTTACCTGAGTTACCTAGTAGGACTTTTCGTGGTATCCGTATTCCGTAGGCGGGCCATGACAAGGCAACAAGGTTTCCTTTCTGCAAAGGGGGGGTGTAATTGACCTCAAGTTCAGACAAACCATGTGGAGAGACGTCCAACAGGTCAGGATAGGGCCGATGGACGATCACGAGGTGATGTTGGGATGTGGAGGGAGGAAGAAGGAGAGTGTGGGTTGATCGTGAGCTCGCGGAACCTAGTACCAACACATCAAGGCATCTGAGCTGCAAGAAACCAAGTATTGGGTACTTTGTACAATTGTGACGATCTCACGAGCGAGGTGGCAGGGGGAGGTAGACCATAAAAAAACCAGAAACAATAAAACAGACTACATTGGTGTATCCGCAGCCGTAAAGTCGCCAGTTTAGCCCGCCAGGTTTTCCCATGGGTCCCCCTCATCCCCCAGCAAATATGAATGAGCCCCAGCAGGGGAATGGCCGGCGCTAGTCAGGTAAGAGGGTGTGAAGGAGAAGGGAGAGGGAGTGTGAGGGGGGAGACTCTACAGACTCTGGGGTAGCTCCGGTCGGTAGCAAGTGTTTCACAGCAATTGGACTCTTTCTCAGCGGCGTGATACGTAGGCACGCAGGCACATAGGTTGGTTCATACATAGGTAAGAGACGCGGGCTGGCGGCAGATGTCTGCTCTACGCGCCTAGTCTACGGCTTGGCCCAGTCAGGCAAGGTAAAGATATCCGAGGCTGGATTTAAAGCAACGGGAAGGGCACATGAGCAACGCCCCCAACGGTTCATCGGACAAGCACTACAAGCCTACAAGGTAGGGCCAAGTCGACGTTGAACGGCGCGACCGACGTTGAAAAGGTACAATGTGATTGTTTCCGCCCGATGGTACGGATACGGAGTGCGTGATCTTGGTAAGGTTGGGTGTGGTGGAAAAGTTTTTCTGGGTCGCATCGAGTGGCATCAAGTCGAATCTCGTGCATCCCCGCGAGTCGTTCGCCCAAGACTTTGGCAAAGGTTTTCTGGAGAACTGGAGGACATGGAGAAGATGGAGAAAGGGCGGGGAGTTTGGAGATTGCCAGGGCGTTTGGGGCCTTTGGGCAGGGCGTGGGCCGTGGGGCAGCTTTTTCTGGTGAGATAAAACACGCCCCTCCCTCCCTTCTGATGATTGTGTTCTATAGACTATCCGCAATGGTCCGATTCATTGTTGGTTTGCGTCTGTTTTGGGGGGTTCAACGTGGGCCTGGCATCGTGTAAGGTACCTAGACATCCATTTAGCTGGTGCTAAACAGAGTGGATGAAGTGTTGTGTTTACAGAGTAGTGGCATTGTATCGCAACTATTGCCCTTGATGCTGATAGTACCGTATCCGTACGAAGTAGAGACTTGCAGACTCGGGGATTTGTGATCGGTCAAGGTACACTGCTCGAGGTACTCCGCGGTCCATACATTGACGGATCACTAGGTAATCAGGTACCTGGAGGCTTCAGCCATCAAGCATCGAGGTGGAGTTTGAACGTGCGAAATGTGGGCGAGAAGAAGACGATGGGAGCGAGAGAATGTGCGGTTTGCGGCTCGCCAGCCAGTGACGGCGTAGCTTGCAGGTACGTACTGCGTAGTGGAAGCGGGCTGGGGAAACTTGAAAGTTGTGTGGAGACCCCACAACGGTCACGCCGCGTCGCCGCCCGAGGGCATCGCTTAGGGATACGTACTCTTTCTCAATGTGGAGTTGCGGACTCTCGGCGATCCAATCAGCCAAGCAGATCGCCTGAGCTTGGAAGGAAACAAGCAACGGCCAAGGAAGTCGCGACTCTTCGCTTTCTCTCTCTCACTTGGTTACTGAGGTGCTGTCTGCACAGAATGAGATCTTTCGATGGATGAGCTTACATAAGGAGGCACGCAACTCGGAAAGCAACTAACAATGCAGCCAAGACCCGCCGTGGCCGGCTTCGCCAACTGCCGTCTTCACAAGCTCACAGCGTTTGCTTCCGTTCAAGGCTTGATTGACGATGGACATGGCCATTCTCGCCCAGCTTCTTCCTCTCACCTCATGCATCGTGTCACCCTCGTGATCTGCGGCGAGTCCTGCCCAGTCATTTCGAGACATCTGACATGCTGCCCTACACCGTAGCATGTTCCCGACTCACTGGGTCATGGCAATCATCGCCTGGCCTCGGCTCAGTCTCACTCTCCTCTCAGTGTCGTTCCCCAAAGTCTCACTTTCATTTAGTGAGCTTTCCTACGAGCGTGAGTGAGAGACAAGTGAGACGTAAGGTGAGGGACCCTGGCCATGATCGACTGAAAAAGTCGAAACTCACTTTCGGCCCGTTTCCTCGCAGCTGCCCCGTCAATACCTTAATGTGCCCACGCTCCTCCCCTGCTCACCTCTCCACGTTGGATCCGCAGCTTCTCGTACTGGCTGCTCTGATTCGCTGCGCATTCACCACTTCATCTCCAACGCTATTTCTCTCGCTGCTACTCTTTACAAGATTTCCACCTTCATCGTCAGCTGCGACATGAAAGTTTTTGTTCATCTTCATTTTTTGTTTAATGAACCATGATACTTTTAGTTTTCATTCACGATGGCATCAGGGCATAATCAAAATTGACACATTCGCTCAAATGGAATTACTAGCAAACCACTCAAAAGTGTTTGCTGCAAGCATAATCCGTCACCAGATCGCCGAATCGCAAAAAGACGTCAGTGGCTTTATTCGGAATTCACCGACCATCTTTCATTCGGCCGCCCTCACACCATCTCGACGCTCGCCGTCTCCGCGTCTCCACCCCTCAACCGGCGCCCGTTATTGCCCGCGCCTATGCGGTATACTCGCCGCCATGAACTTGACTGTACTCGAACGGGTACAGTACTCTGCTATGTGGACTTTTCTGCATTCAATACCTACCAAGTATTGTGCGGCGTGCCTGTCCATCCCGTCGGTTCGGGTGACAGCTGCCATTACAGCACTGACTTCCGTACCAAAGTCTCGTAAGATCACGACTACTGTCGACAATGACTCTCATCCCAGCCCAACGTCTCCATCCGGCCCGATGCCTGTCAAGTCTTGTCAGATCAGCCGTGTTCCATAATCTCGCTCTTTTAAGCGCCTCATCCCCAGTCGCCCACATTCCCGCTACCTCTTTCGGCGCTTCTTCGTTGTCTTTGCCCCGGGCTCCATCCCGGCTTCGGCCAACAATCCTGGCGCAAAACGCCGCAAGCCCACGACGACTTCACTTGAGCCGCCCATGCTCCTACGCCCTTAACGCCTCCTCGCAATCGATTTACAGACGTCGTTCGATGTGCTAGCCTTTGCAGGCACTTCTCGTGTTCTCAACAACCTCTCAACATACATCACCACCACCTTTCACCCCATCATCATCACCCGTTAGCCAACGACCTAATGCACAGCACAGCGCGCCGCAACGTTGACAGGCCGCTTGGCAGCGAGAATGGGCTCCGTCTCGGACCTGAGACGCCTCATTTGCGGGCGCTCGCGCAGTTCTCGCTTGCGAATATACCAGTAGTCCCACCAAAGGCCCGATATCTCCAGAAACGCGGGGTTCTTTCTCTCCGCCAGCGCGCCTTTGCTGGAGAATCCTCGCGTATCGAACTATCAGTGGCTATCCCTAGCTCGCCCGCAATCGAGCGCCGACGCCTCCTCGGTTTGACGGGGCTTTTCCCCTCGAAACACCATACGGAGTACAAATTTTGAAATGGCTCCAACGCCTCCCGGGAAATGCCGCAACAGAGAAGAATCCAACTTTCAACCCAGTTAAAGCGCACTTGAGATAGTAGGTTTACGACCTCGCCTACCGTGGCGTGGGAGAGTGTGGGAGGCTCAAGATGCATTCACGGGTATGGACCAACAGCAGAGCCGCTGCCGCTACTGCTCTTCCAATGAAGAGGATCGCCACCGTGCCGGCTACGCGGCCTCGAATGATGGCCGGTGTCGCTATGCTCACATGATCAACTCGAGGGGCTACAGGCTGGCCAGGCACCGGCCTCAGCGTTCCCGGGACGTTGGCCTGCTGCGGGCGGTGAGGCCAGACCGGTCTCTTTCCGGGGAAGCACCGCGGGGGCCGATGGGTTGTCCCCGTGTCTCTGACGGCCCAGTGGCTACAGAAACGGCGGGCTGGGTGCGAGCTGGGTACGGGGTTGGTGATCTGACCGATTTCTGACCTAGTCTTCACGTACCCCTCGACTGCGCATCACGAGACAACGCGGAGTCTGGAGAAGCCTGCTTACTCCAGAACCCAGAATGTAACGAGCTCCCGCACATGCCACGCGCGGACCTGTAGGGAACCCGAGCTGGAGCCACCGTCGGTCAAAAGCCACGCTGTGTGAGGGTCGAGATCTGGTAATCGGCCCGTTACATAAATCCCCGACAAGGTGCATAAATCTGATAACCACCGTCTTGGTATCGCATGGCCTTATCGTTGAGAATCAGGGGCCTCGAATATTTTGGTTCAATTTGATGCCAGATTTGAGGATAGAGCTGATCGCTGGGGAAAAATAAGGTCGAATGATCAAAATCTCGTTGTTCTTGATAAAGTCATCCAAAGTTCGGCCCTGACTTACTTAGACTTGGAAGTCCTGAGAACGCCAAGTGGCACACAACATCGAGTCACGGCTCTTAGTTGAGGAGAAAGCAAGTTGCCAGAGGAACGAACACAAGCTGTGTAAAGAGTGTCTCAATGTGGCATTATCAAGCTCTCCAACTGATTTATTCCCCGCCACGGAACCGGACGAGAATGGCGAGGCACGCCTAATGCCACGACCCCTTCCATCAATCACGAATCTAAAGCTCAGCAAGTCCACTGCGTAATCGTCAGTCTTTACAAATCAAGCCATGTAAGTACGCAAGCTTACCTCCGCACCACCAGGGGCCACATACGACGTGAACCCAGGCTGGTAGATCTACAAGTGTACACGTCAGCAAACCACAACACAGCATAACATCACTTTCCACCACAGGGAGGACGCTCACGTTGACAGTATACCCGGGGTCAGTATCCTTGAAAGCACCAGGAATACTCAGAGTCGGTGCAAACGAACTCGCGGAGGCGGTCGAGCCCGTGACGTTGATCTGCGCGCACGAGATGTAGAACTGCGGGATGCCGGCCGGGTAGGGGTTGTGGATGCCCAGCTGGTGGACGCGCAGGAGGTACTCGCCGTTAGGAAGGCACGTCGGGATCTTGTACTCGTAGGTTTCTAGGTGCTGGTGGTCAGTTCAATCCTTGACGGATAGGAATTTGATGAGGTGAGTATCGTACGTCTCATTGGCCAAGTTGCCTGACCGTTGCTAAAGGTCGGGAGGAAGTCTTTGAACTTGGCCCATTTTCCGGACCCGTCGTAGTCTTGGACGTGAGAGGGCGCTTTGGACAGGAAGCTGGACGTCTATCAGCGAAAGCTACTGTGCATTGGCCGAGTAAGTACTCACAGCGAGATGGGACCCTGGTGGTAGACGGCAGTGTCGAGCGTGAAGGTGAAGGCGTCGCCGGGCTTCACGTTGACCACCGTAGTCTGGGCGCCGCTGGCACCGCCGACGTTGCATCGCAAATCGTTCGAGGCGAGGTCTATTGGGCCGATCAGTTTCTTCTATCCCTTCCAGGAACACGCAGATCAAGTGACGAGGGCACGTACCAGTAACGGGGGAGTTGTAGTTGGTGTTCTTCCGGATGTGCTGGAAGACGTCGTACTTTGTGGACCCCACGGACAGCTGCTGGAAGATGTAGTGCCCAGAGACTTCCGATACGGCTGCCGAGAGGACGGCGGCGGCGGTGAAGAACTTCATGGCGTCGGATCCGTTAGGTTGCGTCTGGTCAGAGAAGACGAGCGTATATTTGGAGCAGGAGCTGACTCGGAAGAAGGATGAAGATGATGAGGGAACCACGTCTACATGCTCTTGGCTCTGTGCTCATCATTTAAAGGGGATACTGGACGTTCTGCCATTTTCCTTCGTCAGGTCGTAGGGAGACGGCTCGGAGGCTCAGCTTCCCTGATGCTACTCTGGAGAGCAGTCATGATTGGCAAAAGAGTCAATCAACATTGGTAATCAACAAGACCCTCTACGCGGCAACGATGAGAGGTGGGATTACTTCGGCTGTTGACGGGTCTCCGGTACATGGCCCCGAGCATGGTGTATCGCGTGATGGGCGGTTTGCTTTGATTGCCAGGAGACGGTACCAGATGCTATGTTGACCTGGTTGTGCCCAATATGCGTCAGCCAATGCTAAGCGGTGTTGTCGGACCACGAGACTTGGTTTGGAATGGTAACGGATCAGTGGTCCAGGGCTTACTTCATGTGTCTAACTGAGCTTTTAGAGGCACCTAGAACTACCCTTAGACGGCGGCTACCTCCCTTGAACAAGATCTTCTGGATGATTCGGCGTGCTTAACAGTGACACGTCTTGGCTCGCCGAGGCTATCTGTAAGACTCCACGCTCCATCACTGATGCCTCCTGCAAGCAAGTGAAAACTCGCAAAGAACCACATCTCGAGCACACGGCGGCGTTGGATCTTGACAGCGATGATGAAAGTCATGTAGCCACCGGCAGAAGTCGTGCATGGCACGTGAGCCGTTCATTTGCCGGAGGTGAAATGCACCCCAGACTCTGTAATCTACTTAAATTAAGCTTGTATGGAATAGCATTTTAGCCGTGCAGATCACTTGGCAAACGTCGGCCTCGGCTGAATTCAATGTTGCTGAGAAGCGTTGCCTATAGTAGTATGATGTGATCACTACAACGGACTGTAGAACGAGGAAGGTGACTCTAGAAAATATTGAAGGGCACTGAGAACAGACATCTTTCCCGCATTCCTTTGAAGCTTCTGGTTCAAGTGCCGGCGGCTAGAGCCATGGGCAGTGATAGTCTGGACTCACAGCATATAGTGCTCTTACCGCTTTACCGCCATATTGCGTATCTCGCGATATCGATTGTATATCAGTCGACAGTCAGTCCAGTAGTATCTGCTTTAAGATTGAGAGTACTCCGAGCGGGTGATTTATATTAACATCAAACTCCTTTTTTGAAGCTATCCAGGATCGTGAAACGGAGTCTCCCGGAGCCACAGCCTCCGGGCTCTAAATGGTACATGTTCTTTCCCTCCGATCACTGATGTATTAGCTTTATGCCACTGACCAGTAATCAATACAACTCATCAGAACCGCCTCCAGTCAAATTATGACAGTAATACAACAGAAGAGCATGGGGATGGCCTCAGAGGGAGTATATCAATTTGATTCCATGACTGACTCACCTCATAAGAATTAGGACTGAACATAGCAGACGGACAGAGTCATATCAAAGCGTTCACCGCACGATCAACGGCTTTCCATAAGGCTAGAGTATCTCAGGAGCACGTCCGATCTCCCCGCCCGGGGCGAGAAAGTGGATCAATCACCGGCCCGCCCGGGAAGCGGAATATGCTCACCCCCTTGCTCTTCGGGATCAGAGCTTCCGCTAGCCCCGCCGATAAGGCGAACTGTACCCATGTTCACGCCGAGTAGTATCGCAGGATTTGTATTTGACCGCTTTATTAGAGTTTTGATTCCGGATCGGAGAAATAACAAAAGTTTCGTACGGATAGTCTATTGTATGCGGATGGGTAGTATATTTGAAAAGCTGCCGTGACCTTAGTTACAGTCGGCCCGATACTTGATGATGTCAACAAACGACGAATCTCGTGACGAGAGATGAACGGCTGCGAATAAGAGGCAATGAAAGTGTGCTTACTGTTTTGCGCTGTGATCAACAAACAGACGGGTGCCCGCCAACCCAGTTGGTTTGGCTTTACCGCAATAAGCGCTTTGGAAACGCTCTTTGAATGATTTTTTCCCAGTATTTTCTCCGCTTTGATGACATGGGAAATTAATCCTCCAGGGCGCCGAAAAGTGAGAGCAAACCAGTCGATGGACACACAAGACTTGGAGCCCTTATAGTAGATCACATTCTCTACGTGTAAGCGACACTGAGTGTAGCCCACCATTTACATAGGTTATCACGACGGAAGCAGACTCGGAAAAAGCGCCCTACGACGCAGCAAGCTAAGATGAAAGGCCTCGGCTCTCGTGTGATGCGGTAGAATTCACCGGCTATATCCAGGCCTGTAACATCGTCACGTCTCGGCAATCTAATCTCGACACCCCTTTATGTGTATTAGGCAAATAGCGGACGAAGCTCAGTGTAGTCTAAGCTACTCGATGGGTCTCAGGGGTAATTTGTACGAGACATGTTGTAAATCGGTTTCTCGATGACTTTAACTATCGAGCATCGTCCTGGCGGCTGACAGCCTTGAGCTGCTGTTGAAACGTTGACGGAAACCCTTACCTTTCAGTAACTTCTAGGATCATTTACCTTAGGTCTCAAAATGAAGGCCTTCATCGCAATCCTTACGACGTTTGTCGCCCTGAGCGAACTTGTCTCTGCCCACTGTGAGAAGCCCAAGAAGTGAAGAGCGTCCCATCCCGAACTGACAGTGCTCCCCAACTAGACCGCTTCACGAGCCTCGTGGTCGGGGGCGTCAACACAGGGGAATACGTCCATGTCAGGCGCAACACAAACTACAACAGCCCCGTCACAGACGTCCTCAGCAAAGACATCGTCTGCAATGCTGGCGGCCTCTCCTCCGGTCCGGCGACGCAGATCGCCACCGTCGCGGCCGGTTCGACCGTAAATCTTTCTCTTCTTCCTCCTCCTCCTTCTTCTCACATCTTCACGCCCCCCGTATCCGCCTTCCTATTCCTCACCCCCTCCCCGTTTCCGTGTCTCCATGCTCGAGATACCTTACACCCGAAGATCCGCGGGTCGACACGACTCGAGAAGACTCACTAACCAACGCACTCTCTGCAGGTCGGTTTCGCAATGGACCAAGCAATCTACCATGACGGGCCTGTCATCGTCTGGCTCTCGCCCGCCACGGGGTCCAACGTCACGACCTACGACGGCAGCGGTCCCTGGGCAAAGATCTGGGAGCTAGGCGCGCAGACAGGCAACGGGCAGATCAAGTTCCCCGCTTCGAACCAGGCGGGCTTCAACTTCCAAATCCCCTCATGCACACGTACGTCACGACATTTCCTTTCTGTCGAATGGTCAAGTGGTGGACTTACTCGTGCAACATGGTGCTTGCTGCTTTCCCCGGTCGTAGCCCCTCACCCGGGACTATGCAGCCGTGATCACCGTTGATCCCCACGGACGGGCACTCAACGCCCGCCCGTGTGTGATGTATGTATGTATGGCTGGGCCGCGGAGTACTGACGGAGTCTAGCCCCGGGAGAGTACCTCCTCCGCATCGAGCAGATTGGACTACACTCCGCCAGTGCCAAGGCCGGAGCCCAGTTCTACATCTCGTGCGCCCAGATCAAGGTGACGGGATCAGGGAGCGGCACTTCGTTCTCGCCTACTGTCAGATTTCCGTGAGTTGTCTCCTTAACTTCCATGTCATTCACAGATATGTCCAGCCTTGTTCCCATGTTCAATGCTCCCAATCCCAACGCCTCCCCACACCAAAGGCAACTCCACCTGCAGGGCAGGGCGGCGGGCGGGCGGACGGCGCGCGGCTCGTTCTCGTTTAAAGAAAAAAAAAATGGTCGCGATGGAACCTTGATAGGATTTGGCAGGTGTGTTAATCTCCGCGTATCACTTAGGGGCGCATACACTGGCGACGAGCCCGGTATCTTGATCAACATCTACTACCCTGTGGTGAGTTCTCTCGTGCGCAGACCTTTCCGCGCCCACGCGGAAAAAAGAAGGTGAAGTCATCGTGAGCGAGTCGTGCTGATGTCTTGGCGGGGTCGAAAAATAGCCAACAACTTACACCGTACCGGGAGGACCTGTGGCAAAGTGTTGATCCAGGCCCTTCGTTCGTGTCATTTCATGGCGAGGGTGACGCAAAAAACACATTTTCCTTCACGATAGCCATGGTTGTTGGGTATTAGGGTTTCCGCGGTTTCCACGGCGCGGGCAGCGTGCGTGGCTGGTTGGTTGGCTGGCTGTGCCGCTTTGTATAGCCTGTAAGTGAGGTGGATTAAGATGAATACGAGAAGATCCAAAACAGAGGCAATATTGGATTTGATTGAATGTTTTTCATTTGTTTGATTCATCTACCAAAAAGCTTCGTGAAATACACGAACTTGGCAGAGGTGTTGGGCATGGCTGCCGTGTCGAGACTCTCGTGTCCCGACAATAATTATCTTAAAAAAAAAAAAAAAGGGTACTGAGTAAAACACCATACTCCATTCGCAAAAAGTCCCAAAGAGTCGCTCGTTCGATCCTGAAGCCATCCATAGAAACAGGGAAATACCCCCCACTCTGGAGAGCCCTATCAAGATCGTCAAAAGAGAACGAAGGAAAAAAAATGAGACAATAAAGCTCCCATAAGTCGTTATCCCCGTAATCACCGGCTCCCAACACCAGGTCTCAAATCCCGATTCCGACGATTCATTCCCCCCTCTTCCGCAGCTCGCTGGATTCGCGATCAATAGGAGCTCCACAACTTATCGGGGCTCCCGGGATAGTCGAGATATGACTCGGGGACGGGACTCGAGGTCGAGACGGGAGGAGGGACAATGCGGTATGCGTCGAGCGCAGACATGTCCAGTGCCAAGCTTCCGGCCCCGTCGTTGGCATTGGCGTTGCTCATCAAGTCCCACGCCGGAGCCTGCCCCGCAACAGCAGCAGCAGACATCTGCTGGCTCGCGCGGAGTCTGTAGCACTCGTTGGCCAGGAGTCTGTAAGCACAGCAGAGCGCGTCGTTCTTCTGACTCATGTCCTGGATCTGAGCCTGGAGCTCCTCGAGACGGGACTCTTTGCGCTTTCGGTAGGCGCGCTGGTTGGCGCGGTTCTGAGCGCGGCGCTTCTATACGGGGAGAAAACGTGGTCAGCCTCTTTTTCCTTATTTGCAGTCTTTCGGATGCGGCCCGCGGGAGATGAAGACCGGGGAGCCGATGCTCGCCAAAAAACGGGGCTCATGCCACGGACTCGGTGAGGAAAATGCAGACTGGGAAGCCGGGGGAACAACTTACTGATAGCACTGACTCGCTGCAGTTCTTATATCTGTTGCCCCGTCTTCCTTTCTGGGGCTTTGAAGACTCTTCAGATCCGCTGGTGGGGGAGTGTGCGTCATCGTGCGAGTCTTCTGCCTTGCTGTGATCGATGCTGGAGGTCGGGCTGTGAGGGCTAGACCATAATGACGTCGGAGTGCAGTAGCCGTTCTCGTTGGAGTTCTGTTCGACTTGTGAGTTTCAAGAGTCTCATCTGTGTTGTCTGGCAGGCTGTAGACATACGATGCGTGAGGCGAACTGCGCGGCGATGATGTCGTAGGGGGTTGTGCCAGCCATTGAGGAGAAGTCGACGGGCATGGCGTATGGCGGGAGTTCTGGTGATGTGCTGTCCATTGCGTAGATGTGTGTTTTGGATACTCTTCCCGACCTCGTTGTTGACGATGATTCACAGTAGATGAGATGGTTCGTGAGATTGGTGTGGCAATACAAGGATCACGGTGACGTTGATGTATGGCGAGCTAGTGTGAGAACTGAGAATAGTGTTGTAGATGGATCTGTGGGATGAAGAGGCGAAGAGGGAGGCGTGGAGGTGGAGGGCAGTAGCGTGATCGAGGAGGCGAGGGTGGGCAAGGGCAACTTATATATCCTTAGTCCTTGGTGTGAGAGCGAAGCATCGCCAAAAGATCTCCGAAGACGGCACCAGAAAGAGATGTGACGATTCTACAATGACCAGAAACAGGACAGGAGACAAGGGGGAGGGGTGTGTGTGTGTGTGGGAAGTAGACACTCTTGTAGACAACATGGTACATACATAGAGAGCCGATGGAACCATGGGGAAACGAGAGCACGAGAACCATGGGCTGGAACCAATGACGGTGTGTGTTAATGTCAACGCTGGCCCGGCACGGGTGGACGAAGACGTGAGAGCGAGTACCTGCATATGGAGTCAGTTGGTCGTCCATCCCAGTCCGTCGCATCTGGAATTCGGTATTCGGTGCCGCGCCGGTCTACAGTGTACGTATCTGGAGGAGGAAGGGGGGAGGGGTGTGTGAACAGTGCAAGGCTTGATCAACAATGAGATCAAAGAGCTATGGTGGGCCACCGTCCGTGTGTACATGAAGGGTGAGTGGATGGATGGCTGGTGAGGATGAGGATGGGTATGTTCTCGGCGTGCGAGTTTATGAGTAGTAAGAGATACTTTGAGACTGTAGGAAAAGACATGCTTGTCTACAGTTTCTGGGCCAAGTGCCAGTACAGAATACTTCGACGCATATAACGGAACTCTGAAGAAGCAGTCCAATGGCAACCAACGATGTAGGGTAACATTACAATATTCGCGCGTTGTTTCGAAGCCGGAACTGAGCAAATAGAGGGCCAGAGAGGACTCTCTCTCAAGTAGCTGATTCGGGCTGTGACCCATTCGATCCCGGGACGCCGGAGACGAATCGCGTGTTTTGCAGAAGTCGAGGCCCGAAGACGAGCGGAGACGACCCGGGAATAGCAGAAGGGAAGGGAAGCCGCTGGGTCTCGTCACAAGTTGAGAGAGAGGGCCGCTCACAGAGAACCTCTCTAGTGAGACAAAGGTGTGGGTGAGTGAGAGGAAATGTGAGTGAATGAATCAGTAGGCGCGCTATTTTCCCTGCTGGCTGCGGGTTCGATCGGTTTGGTTTCCCAGCAATCATTGCGGGAGCTAATCCTCATCCAGTCTAGCTTTGGCACCGGCTCAGAACACCTTATTTTCTGTCAAATGTCTTGTCTCCGTGGACCGCGGACCGTAGTGTACGGAGCATGCAGAAGAGTGTGAGAGGTAGGTGGGAGTGGTGTGTACCCGTAAAACGCGAGCTCGGTCTCATCCGTTATGATATCATTTCGTCCCTCAACGACAAGGATGGCATATGTATGAGCGTTTCTGGGATCTGTATCTCTGTGAGATGCAGCTGTGCTTCACTCTGTGCGAGTTTGCCAAGGTGGTCTGGACTTGGACTGACATGTGTTCGCAGAGGGGTTCAACCGTCCAGCTCAGTCGGAGGCTCTGAGTTCAAGAGGGCAACAATGAGACTCACCGGTACCAAAGTGTCAATTAAGCTCGGCAGAGCCACAAAAATAAACCAGCCCTGCAGAGTCTCAGACTCACACTGCGTATCCATAGAGAGTAGAGACTAGAGACTCGCCATTCCGTGATCTTCGCGCGGTGCTCCACGGATTTACCACTCTTTGCGTGGGTCAGATGGTTGGTATTCTCCCGTGATATTTTCTCACTTCATTTCCACTCCGTTTTCTAGACTGACTAGATTCTGTGTTACCATGGGACTTTGCCCGGCATTTCGGCGTCTCGCAAAGTGGGCGCCCCCTTTTTACTACGCTCCCCATTGAAAATGAAAATTTCAGACAAGTTTTTTTCAAATTGCTCGTTCCCCATCTCGAAAAACCCTTCAGCTTCAGCTGCTCCAGCTGAGAATAATTCGGATGGGACGGTCTTCACCCAATGCGAATGCCCTCACAACGACATCATGGGACCATGGGCAGTGATCAGATCGGCAGAAACTCAAAAAAGCCTGGACCTGTCTTCCCGTGTGGCTGCCTCCTCTCCAAAACCTTCAAGCCGTTAATTCCGCCATGCATTGAAAGACTGTCGACTGTTGCTGTATCCGTACCGTCCAGGCGCACCCAGAGCTAACCGGTGCCCTTTCGGCTCCGACAGAGCTGCATTGACCAATTCTATAGCCGCCATCGGGCGACGGGATGTGATGCTGGGACCGGGATGTGAACACTACTTACCCGAAAAGGGAACAAAACAAATCTCTCTCTAGGGCGTCCAGTCCAGCCCTAGCAAATACGTCCAGCCCTTTTTTTGTGTCTCTCTTGTTCTTCCCGTCGGAACCACAACCTTGCGGTACAGGGGTGCTGACGCCTGACTCGGGTACGTCGGACTCGCGTCGGTGGCGTGTCGGTGGTCGGCTTCAGCTTGCGCCGGGAGTGACAGTGAAGACTGGCAGGGCTTCGAGTGACAAGCGATAGTTGAGTGGTATTCCAGCAGAGCCGTCAGTTTCATTCCCGGTAGTTCCCATGGCGTAAAGTGGGATAAGGAGACAGCTTGAACAGGGTGGATTCGCGTGAATCGGCTGCCCGTTGATCATCCACGCCCGTACGAATAGCTGACAGTCTCGCAGAGACCTCAACGGCAGTGGTACATGATATCCCTGAATAAGCTTATCCCACGGAGCGTATCGCTGCAAATCCCTCTTGTCTCTGCTTACCTTTTTGTTCATCGTGCCCTCTCTTCTGAAGCTTGACGCCAGATGCAGATGGGAGAGCCACACCCTTCCCCCTCTCACCCCCCACCACCATCACCCACCAGACCAACGGTCCATCGATGCACAGAAGGCTTGGCGTTTTCTTCCGATGCTTCGATGTCCTTTCCACCCGGTATCCATCCCTAATCACGACGTGAACTCGTGATGGTCAGTGTGGGTCGAATTGGCGATATGCTGCATGCGGTAAACTGCATCTCAGTTTTGTTGATCACTATTGTTGGAATCTTTACATCACTTCTGACGGCCTTGCTCACCACGATCGCATCTATCTCGGGATTACACATCGCTTGTATGTCTAACATCCCCATAGAACGATACAACATGTGAAAGACACTAGGCGTGAGCTCGTTCGGCACCGATCCTCGGAGAGCTTTAGTGAACGAAGCACACTACCCTTAGTTGCTGACGTCGTCGAACCCAGGAAATCCTTCCCTCCCCGCTCGGTCGCCGTTTGGGAGCACGGGTCCCGCCGTCAAGTTTCTAGTCGGGCCAGCTATGAATATCTTACCGTAGACACAGATTCCATACTCTATGGTTGGTCCCCGAAAATTGACGTGTCTTAATTCCGACTTACCCGCCCAGCGAAGCAGGACAGAAACTCTATCCTGAGCCGTTGGAACCGGGGGCGGCTTACTGGAGCCATTGCATGGCTAGGACACCACCACATCAGGAATCCGGCACAACACAGGGGCGCAAGTGCGCCGCAGTAGCGCCTATTCGGCTGATGGGACGTGAAGGTCCTGGACCATGTCAACTGTGCCGATTCCGACTCTCATCATTGCCATGCAGGCTGAATGGAGAGGGAGGGAGTTTCCCCGCCATTGCCAATTTCCACACTGCGCCGGCGGAATGGCCGATAAAAAGAGCGGGACAAGGCCGATTCGCGACCCACATTCTCATCGGCACCGTCCCGGCGAAGCGGAGGCAAGGCGGAGTCCCGCACCGGGAGCCCTTGCACATCCATCGAAGATATCCTGCCTACAACTGACTCTGATCCACGCATACATATGTATTTAAAGATACGCCACAGAATACGACTGGGTGACGCGAGGGCGAAGCGAGGAAGTCCTTCTTTGCAGATGGCATTTGACTTTTCGGGCGCTGTCAGAAACATCAGACCAAAAGTGTCACTTTCAGGCTACCCTTCTCTCGGCGAGGAGGTACTGCTCATAGCAAGCAAACAAAGCCAGCATATCCCCCCCTCAAGTCCCGAACCCGCCACACCGCAAGTGCCTCTCTCCCCATCCCTATTACCCTTTTCGCGACGCGAGATTCTCCCCGAGGCGCAAGCCAAGCCACACACGTCGAGCGGTTTGAACGTTTCTTGAACCCCGAATTCTGGGGTTTGCGCAACCCCCGGTGTACCTAATCTCGTTGGCCCGTTTGAAGTCATTTTTCGTCCCAAGTTGAGAGGCTGAAGTGAACGTTCAATACGAGGAAGCTCGAACCAACAAAGTGCGTCTGGACCTCTCGTTTCCGCGGGTGCTGGGTATGGTACCCTTTTCGGCCAACGACGTCGAGTCACCGTCGGGTAAAGGGCAGGCATGCCGAGATCGTTATGCTGCAGCCTAATGTTGCAGAGTCAGACTCAGACAGCTAGTGCGTCTCTACTGAATAAGTGATTATTCTTCATCCTGGCTTTCTGCTTTGAAAACCATTTTGCTTCTGGTTGTTGCCTAGGTGTTCGTCATCAGCTGTATCCCACCTACGGCCGCTGTCCCAGATACGAGTGACGACTCACGCCGCGCTGCCGTCTCAAGAAGGGCGTCGTCATCTGCCGCCTCATAGCCTCCGTACGCCACACATGTCTGGAAGAGGTCTGGACTACGATCGTCTAGCCCAGATCGTCGGCTCTAGTCCCTGACCTAGCGATTTTCTGGGGTATCCCGATTGTTCGTTGTTGTACTTGTTTCACCTGACGAAGATCAAGAGTTGATAGGAACCTATTTTAAGATTTCGTGAGAGGGCCATCACAACTCCGCTTTCATAGTGTTGAGGTCAGGTCCCATACAATGTTCTCTAGACCGTAAGTCCATGGCAACAAAACATGCCGACACAGAGCCTGTCACTCCTGGCCAT